GCCGTCCCCTCGCGCGGCAGCAAGAAGGTGAGGGCACGGGGGGACGCGGGGGCCTGGGAGCGACTCCCTCCGGCGCCTTCTCCATGTGCCGCCCCATTCCCGATGGAAAAATCCCTCCCGTGTGCAGCTTTGGAGGCCCCCTGTGCCCCACGGAGGGTCTGCACCCCTTGGGGACCCCGCTGAGCTGCGGTGGGAACGAGCGCCTTTCTCTCCCATTGCTTTCAGGAGGGAGGGAACATCTGGGGCAAACGTGTTCTCAGCTTTTTGCTTATGGAAGGAAATCGGCTTATTTTTTTTTTTTAAGGAGCCTGAGTCCGTGCTGTGCCTCAGCAGCGAGCGCTTCTTATTAGTAAACTCCCTTCCAAAAAGGAAAGAATTTGAGGTGGAAAACGTCCAGTTTCCAGGGCTGGCTCGCTGCTGGGGCCGGGCTCCCGTGGAGGCGGCGCGGGCCGGCGCTCGGCGGCCCCGGGACACGGCCGCGGTGCACGGCCGCCCTCCCGCAGCCCGGCCTCCCCGCGCGTTGTGCGGAGCCGCAGCTCTCCGGGGAGGCGGCGCTGCCGGGAGGTTGGTCTGTTTGCGTATTTGAGGCCGTTGGGGGTCTGCGTGTTCCCGTCGGAGGCATCGCGGGGCTGGGCGCTGGGCAGGGATGCAGCCGCGGGCACAGCAGGGATTTCCTCTCCTGCCTGTGTTCCTTGAGCTGGGCGAAATCCAGCAGTTTGTACCGACGGGAAGTCGGGCGAGGGGAATGGGCCGGTCCCGGCCCTTCCGGCTGTTGGGTTTCGGCTCCTCCGAGGGGCGGGAGAGCCGGGCTGGGCAGGAGGACGGTGTCGCGCGGGTCCCTGCGGCACCGCTCCTGGCTGTCCTGGGCCGGCCCTGGCTGGGGCTGGTCGGACCACAAGTATTTTAATGCGTTTTCACTGCAAACCTGGTGCTGCTGCTCCCGGGGCCGCAGCGCCCTTCTGTGCAAGGGCTGCAGCTGCCTCGATGGGAGCACGGATCGAAACCCGTGGGAAGCCGGGGCCGGAGCCAGGGATGTCCCTGCCCTGCCCGTGGGTTTCGGCTCTGCAATTCCCCCGCTGCGGGGGAGGCCGGTGCCGCGAGTCCGGAGGAGGATGAGGCCGAACACCCCGTTCCTGGCAGTGCTGGGCGCCCACGCGCGGATCCGGTGCATGAGCCCGGGGGCG